ACATTTACATTTACATTTACATTTACATTTAAATAAATAACAAATAACTATGTTAGTTGGTTGCAACTCATACTACAGATAATTTCTGTCCTACATACGCTGGATCACACTCAAGATCATGTTAGTTAAAATGAGGTAATAAATATAGCTTTGTGTTAGATCCTTTCCTAGGATATTTGAAACCTAACATGTAACCCATTGCTTTAAGACATTCTTCTAGTTAATTATCTGCTCTGGGCAGAGATACTAAGCAGCATTTTAGAACTGCAGAACTACTGTATTTCTCTGTACAGTGTTTAGCTATGCCAGTATGAAGCTAACTTCAACCCACGGAAGCTTTTTTTTTTTTCCCATGTGGAAACACCACGTCTGTTAGGATTTTTGTTTTTAATTTTTACATACACACAAAAATCAACCATTTCCTGTGGAATAAAATTTTCCTTCACTCCTTACTCGGCTAGATCTGAAATCAAATCCTTCTGCCAGTTCTTCAGCATATGTGTATTTCTTCTTTGTTATTTATAAAGATAGTATTAAGACAGTGCAATTCATCTTAGCCCTTTAGTGGGCTATAAAAATTGCCTCAGATAATTACCAGCTGATGAAATTGTAAGCTTTGAAATAGCGAAACGTAATTTAATGTGAACAGTGGTTAAAAAGCAAACTGACTATATAATAGAACCATTCAAAAAAGCTATTACAGTCTATAGGGTATATCCAGAGTTATTAATGTATTGATCATTATAATGTATCAACAAAATGATACAAAGTTGTGCACCATTGAAATCATCCCATTAACCTTTTTTTTTTTAGGATAGTAAACTTGCCATTTTAGAAGACTATACTGTTCCTCTCCTCTGGAGCACAAGTCCTCTATAAAAACAATCGAGAGTTTTTATTTATAAATGTTGGAACTTCAAGAATTCTGTAAATGCATCTTTACATAACTTAACAGTAGCTGCCACTATTATTTTGATTATTCTGAAATATGCTTAAGAGTTGTTTACTTATAGGTTGAGATTTCCACACCAATTTTCAAGCTGGAATATACAGCTAAATGGCTCTTTATGAGTTATGTCATTCCCCGAAGCTATGCTATAATGGAGATACTGACGTGACCTTAGGTACAGAGGTCTGTCCAAGTGCATGATAATATTGCCTGAAAGGATTGTTGCCATTTTCAAGTGGGTGCTAATGTTTTTTTTTCCGATCTGTTTCAGCCTGTCTGGTTGTCCTCTGAATGCACAAGCCATAAAAAAGGGCAAAATTTCGGAAGAATTAATGACTATCAAGCTCAAAGCAAGTGGTGGTAAGGAGATTTGTAAAAGATGATGACATTTATTTAGATAGAAGGGCCCTGACTCCCATTTATACTTATGCCCCTTTATGCCGTTCTGGCATTAATTCTTACTCCTTTCAGTTGTCTCTAGCAATAACAAATCTTGAATAAAAAAACTATTAGCATGAGATATTATAAAATTATTCTCATTTATATCATGATAACTTGACATTGAGGGTACGCTCTCATCTCAGAGCATTATTTTTGATTTGGAGATGCTTTCAATATTGTTATTACTAATAAATTATCAGTTACAGATCAGGAGGACTTAGCTATCTGATGACTAAGGTAAGAAGGGATAAACATCATGTACAGAAATTGACTCTTCTTCTTATCTTCAATACTACGTGGTCTACTATCTGTGTAGTACTTAGACAATTTTGCTAACTCCAGTGCGAAGGAACAATTATCAAACAGTTATAGGGGGAAATATGTAGGAGTCTCCTTTCTTATACAGCGTGCTTTAGAAAGTTGGGCATTGAGCCAGGATTCAGGGATCTCAGCCCTTATGCCTCCAACTGCTGAGCAAAACGGTTGTGTTTCGTTAAGCAAATATGTTTACTTCCTTGTGTCTATGGTTTCACTGGGGCAGGGACTGCTGCTTACTGATTCCCCAGGCTGGCTCCCCAGTAGACTAAGTTCAGGGCTTCAGGTTTAAAGCAGTAACAACAGTGACACAAATCTCTAGGCAGAGTTGGTCTCAGAGTGATACTAAGCAGAAAGAGGGACATGTATTGTCAGCAGCTGTAGCTGCTCACTATTTTTCAGGACAAGGCTTTCATTAAAGACCTGAAGGTTTTTTCATTGCTATCTGACTTGTGCAAATGTAAAAGCCTTACTTTTTTTTTTTTTTCTGTAATGCTTGTTAGCTTCCTGACAATTTCCCTTTTGCTATTACTTAACTTTCACTATTTATCACATGTAACTAAGGCTGTGCCTTTTGAAGTTATTCTGCACAGATATTTGCATCCACAGAAGTTCTTGTAAGATCAGAAGCAGGTACAGATGAGCTTACTAAAGTCAGCAATTATATTAGTGGAGATGTTACCCTGAGGTGTTCCCTGCAAAAGAAAGGTTGTTGTTGTATTTCTTTTAGAAGGAATAATCCCTGTTGTAAATACCCCATCATGTTTTATGACACACTTTCCTCTTTCTGGGCAATTTTTCCTTTCTGTACCCTCTAGCTTGTAGTTGCATGTTGCACTGGAAAAAAAAAAGAGTTGTGAAAGACAAAGACTCAGAAAGCCCCTTCTATGTTTCAGCTCATATAGATGTTTTACAGCTAGGAAACTATCTTGACAGTAAAAGCAAAGAGGCAATTTAAGAATCAATCATTTGAACAAAAGCCTTTTATCTTCTTCTTTCAGTAACAGGTAATGCAGCGTATTACTCATGCATCCATTTACATGTGGACACTTTAAACCTGATATTGATATTTTCAACTATTTGCAGGTATTGAGAGTGATGAAGAAATCAGACACTTGGATGAGGAAATAAAAGAACTGAATGAATCCAATCTTAAAATTGAAGCTGACATGATGAAACTTCAAACCCAGGTATGACATCGACGTGAAAGTTTTACCTTTTCTGATGCTATGTTTAAGCACAATAAATAAATGTGGTGTAAATGCTATGTTTAACACATTTAATCTCTTGCACAATAGTTTTCCCATCACTCTGTGGCACTTAAAAGTACCAAAATCCTAAATGCTTTTTTGTCAAGTCTTCATTTGTTTATTTTCTGTAAATAAGCAGCAGATTCCTGGGTATTGTCTTAAAGATCTGGTGAATGACAAATTCAAAGCAGTTTGGAGCTAATCCTGGCAAGCAGAAAAAACATATTTACCAAACAAAACATTCATTTTCCTTTGTTGACCAAACCTCTGTTGACCAAACTGTGCAGAATCCCATGACTGCAGTTTCTAGAGAAGCTATTACCTCTTACCAGCACTCTTTAACTCCTAACACGAGTTGACTTTTTTCTTATATGTACCTAAGAAAATCTCCCTAGTTCAGTTCACCCACTGTCAGTTATTCAAATAGTATGAATTTTGCCTCCAGGCAACACCTGCTAAAGAATGGATCCCTTTTGCTAATTTGTTTGACAGAAGCCATGGAAAAGAGTCATTCTCTTTTATTCTTTTGTATACTGGAGAGATTAAATTAACTTTAAGATGCTGCTAGTGGTTCTATAGAGTGAGCTGAATATGTTCATCCCTACAGAGACTCCTCTATGCACCTGGGAGTTAACCTGGGCAGGCTGGGTAAAAGCAAGAGCAGAAGCTTGCTCAAACTTTTAGGAATAAGAGTTTAAGAAAAAGGTTCCTAAATGAGATCTGGGAACTGAATGTAAGTCTAAACTGATCTAAAACAAACTGAGTGTCGCCGTACCCTTCTGTATTTGTACCACACTGGAATGTATCTATTGATTCATGCAGGTTTTGTAACAGTCATCACTTGCATGGTCTAAATAAGGGTGAAGTTTATGCCACCTGTGCTGGATCTGAGTGATCTGGCTTTACACTGCAAAGGTTGTGGGGATATCCATCCCCAATTGCACTGCAGTGAGGGCCTGGGTGGCAGTGGTACTTAGTGTCTCAGGACACTTATTTCAGTTGTCTGTGGTGATCACTGTGCTGTTTGCACAGAGATCAACCGATTTACATGGTCAGATTTCTTCTCCTCCGACTTACTTACTCCCTGGTGAAGGCAGTCTGACCAGCAAAGTCTGAACTGAACTACAGCTGAAGCAACACATCCCCTACACGGATTGCTCTATCTCCTTTTAATCTAGCCTGGCCAGGTGTTAGGTTGCTGTGAGAATCCTCCAGAGAATCAGAGAATCATAGAATGGTTAGGGTTGGAAGGGACCTCAAAGATCATCTAGCTCCAACCCCCCAACCCCCCTGCCATAGGCAGGGGCAACCTCCACTACACCAGGTTGCTCAAAGCCTCATCCAACCTGGCCTTCAACATCTCCAGGGATGGGCATCCACAGCTTCTCTGGACAACCTATTCACAGGAGAGGAAAGGCTGCAGTGGACGGCAGGCAGTGGATAGCAGTTTTGGTATCCCAAAAAGGGATAGATAGCACCAGTTCTTCCCCCCAGGGATAGTTTTGATGTGCGACGGTGTGTGAGGAAGTGGCATGGCCACAGCAAGAGACATTTAAGTAGTGCAGAGATGTGCATCCTAATGAGGAGAGAGTGGGAATATCATCTGTGGACGTGACTCCATCGTTCTGTGCCTTGCAGAGCCAGGGCCAGGCACGGGGCTGACAGCCCTCAGTTCTGCCCTGTCCTGCTGCCCCACCGCGAGACGAGGAGCTGGGCTGTGGGGAACCAGGCCCTGCCATTGCTGCCTTCAGTTTTTCAGCACTGTTTTTGGCATAGAAACCTCTGGAGCTGAGTATATTCCCAGCGCTTTTACGCTAAAAAGATACCATTTTTTTACCTCGGATGCTTTTTCCTGCACTTTCCAAAACCTTCATTTCCATGCTGTCGGTCAGAGATGGTCTTTGCAATGATCGTTGTGTGCTCAACCTCTCAGATTCTTTCCACTCCATTTTTCTCTTATTGTTTCCAGTGACAGCCCTGTCACTAGTCCCAGCCGGTCCACAGCTCTACCCTCTGCTCAGGAGCAGGGCAGGAAAGTAGCACAACAGCTAATATCCGTGACCTTGTTATTGTGGTTGATCAGCAGGGATGCTGTAAGAGCAGGACAGCAGTGTAAACATCAGCCTCTTTTCTCCTTCCCTCCACCAGCCCTGGGGCCACACTCCCCATCCCAGCTCCACATTGACCTTCCTCCCTGAGCTCATTTCCCTCCTCCCAACACGAGGAACCGTCCAGTGTCTCACTGCCGTAGAGTTTTCCCACAAACCAGCAGCAAAATCTATTGGTTCAGAGCAAACATGACCTTGTCCTTACTGTGAATATTCTGTGGAAAAGTTATGTCTATCCTCAAGAAAGATATAGCTAAGTTTCAGATCCATCGTGGCCCCTCTCACAATCACGTGATTGCCATTTTGGGTTCAAATCGCATTTACAATGCTGCCAAGGGTCTATTTGTATGTTTGTGCCTGCCTATGTCTTTTAGATCACATCTATGGAGAGCAATCTGAAAACCATAGAAGAAGAGAACAAACTCATAGAGCAGAACAACGAGAGCCTGTTGAAGGAGTTAGCTGGCTTAAGCCAAGCCCTCATCTCCAGCCTTGCTGACATTCAGCTTCCACAGATGGTAAGACCACAGCCAGCAGCTTCGCACCTTCTTTGACACTGTTTTGCCAGCACTTGAAGCAGACGAGCAAGCTCAGAGACCCACAGGAGCACTGGATCTGCATTAGCAGAGAGCTCTTTTAGCCTAATTCGCTCTGCAGAGATGCTAGATTATGAAATCTGCCTGTGCCAGCCCTGGTATCTGTGCCCTGTACTGCACTGTGCCTCCTTATCTGAATGCCCACTCTGCACAAAGAGTGAAAACTTCACACCAAGAATCCTTATCTAATCTGCTCCTAGATCAAAACTTTAACCTGTTTCATACAGGTGGTAATTCTGGAGCCAACAAAGCTCTACCTTCTCAAAAACTTCACATCCTTGATGTCTCACTTGCAAATGCAGGCCAAATCCACAAAGGCACTTGAATCTCCAGAGTTAGAGTTCCCTTTCCCAATCTTAAGAGAGCCGCTAGGAGGTGAGGTGAGGTGAGGTGAGGTGAGAAAAGTTCCGGGGATGTCAGCCACAATCCCCAAGCCAAACAGGCCACAATAAAAAAAGCAAGTTACACTGACAGTAATATCTCCAACCCCTTTCCTTGCTTGGAGAGCGTGTGGTTCCCCCAGCAGATGCAACTCCCTTCATTTCTACAAGCCCTCCATTAATTTGGATGGCTGCCCTGTCTATGGCTTCTCCCCGGTTGCCATATCGCTTCTTTACCATGCTTTGGGGTTGGGTGTTTGGGTTTTTTTGGCCTTAATTTTCTCTCTTACAATTATAATCTGTTTTGTCTTCATTTAGGGGCCAATCAGTGAGCAGAATTTCGAAGCATATGTAAATACACTCACAGACATGTACAGCAATCTGGAACGGGACTATTCCCCCGAATGCAAAGCTCTGCTGGAAAGTATCAAACAGGCAGTGAAGGGCATCCATGTGTAGGATGTGAAAGCTGCTGGGCAACAGAAATTACTTAACAGCAGTAAACTCCAGATGGATCTGTTAGGAGTTCATGTACTGCTAAGGGGTGTAGGTTGCCATGCTGCATTTACAATTGCAACATTGCACTAATTTTTTCCCAGCTGACATAAAAAAAAAATAAAACCACAACAGACTATTTGTATTAACAGCAATGCACTCTGTTAGTATATTGTATTTATTTCAGTACAATTCCTTTTTTTTTCTTCTTTTGCACTCAGTTTTTGTAAAGTGAATGTAAAAAGTGTGTGCGACTATTTTTTATATTTTTTATTTATTTCTAATCAAAGAGTTGTTTTTTTTATCTTTTAACAGCATTTTTGCGGCCTGCCATATTTTTACAAATGTGTTTATTAATTTATTTTCCAATGGGATTTTAAATAGACTGAAAAGTTATACTGTAAATTAAATAACTTGCTGGGTTTGTACAGGAAGAAAAAAAAAAAAACTATGAAAGTAACAAATGACTGAACCATGGTTCTAGTTTTATTTTCCTCACATCCTGCTTTTTTATAATGGCTTTGTATCAGAAATGGATTTGCGGTAACATGAGATGTGAAGATGCATGGAATGAGAAGATAAATGGTGCCCACTAGTGGGTAATGCGGGCTCTTAAAAGCACAGTATGCTGGAAAACAGTGTGTTAAAGAATATGTTAGCAATAATGAAATATAGCAATCAGCAAAGCACTTGACTTGGCTGTGTGATTTAGCCTATGCGAATGATTATTTCAAATGTTTCAAGAGAACTTCAGATTTATTTTACCACTGCAGTTTTTTTGAGAGTTAGCTCATGGAGGGAAACGACAATTATCTCTAAACAAGAAGGATAATTTGATAGGACTGGTACTTTTTTAGTACAAGGCGTTGAGGTTTTAACCAAGTGACCAGTATTGCTATGGATTTGGATTTGAAAAACGCAAACACATCCCAAGCTGATGGCTTTGTACATAACAAATCAAACACATCTCCCCTGAAATGGCATTTAATACTGGTTTGAACTTAACGGCAGCTGAGAAGGCAGCGGTCTGGAGAGGAATAATACCGCTCCAGCGCAGCGGTGGTTGCTTTTCTCTTTGAACCAACGGTAGCAACACCGTGACTGGTTTCTCCCATCCTTACTCCCGAAGACGAGGCTGATACTGAATTTGTTACCAGTCTTTTGGTAGGGTACCAGGTGCTACAGAGCGTACAGACAGACGGAGATGCGGACAGACGAGCACTTGGGCGGAGGTGCCGGCGTGCGCCTCGGTACCTGGTTAGCCTGGCTGTGGAGCTTCTGCATCCGTCAGAAAGTAGCGGTTGCTACAACAGAGGCAATGTCTATTTCAGGGATTGTAAGTAATTAAGCATTGTTTCAAAAGTTTTTTTTATATTTATTTTTTTTAAGAAAAAGGTATAAACAACCAGCTAAACTGCCTTTTTTGTATGCACACACACCTCATGTGCATATGTGCCTCAGTGTAAATGTATACATGGATCTAGCGTGTGTTTAATTTTTCCGTGCTATAATGAAAGTGTTTATTTTTATTAGCCTCATTTATATTTAGATTGAATATGATGGCATTCACAGGCTTGACATATACAATTATATTATTACTGTTCCTGCACAAAAGTACTATTCAAAAGTGATTCAACTCTCATGCACTGTGGTCACTGTTCTGCATTAGGTGGGGCTTGCTTTTTGTTTGAGGGTTGATTCAACTCTCCGATCTTAGTTTAGACTGGGGAAAATGTATGTTCTTAGAAGCTGTGTTTATTTTTAAATCAATTTTTCAAAAGCTACCATATGTGCTGTCTAATATAAATAGGAGGACACCAAACAAAATTTGCTATTAAAGTTATTGTTCTTGCTAAAAAAGCAAAAAGCAAACATTTGTTATACTTGTTAAATGCATACAAAGTGAGTTCACTCATTACAAAGACTAAAATTTAATTTACTAAATATTTTAACAAATTTGTTATATATTTTATTTAAGTAAAAAAAAATCTCTTACTGACCTATGTATTTATTATTATGATTTACTATGGCTTCAGGTTAATTTATCTGTGTTTGGTTGTTTGCTCAGGATGTTCTGTGAAGTATGTTTGTATTTATTTGCCTCCCTTGTACTCGATGTGTTTTGTAACGTGCACTGATTTTTTTTCTTTCTGTTTTTCTTTTTTTTTGTGTTTAAATGCATTGATGAGCTATCCTGTAAATTAGACCTTTTGTAAAGAGCAATGATGTATGCATTTTTTAATTTGGAGTAGTTTGTATACTGTTTCTTCATACAATTAATATTTCTTACATCAAAACAACAAAATTGTGTTCTGTGCTGTACATTTGGTGTATGGTAGGAAATAAAATTGATAATGAAACATTGCAGCAAGATTGTTGGGTTTTTTAGCCTCTAGATGCCGACTTGTATTACACTTTCTTAACCGCACCTGGCACTATACAATGTGTCAGATGTTTTCCTTGCTTTGTGTACAAAATGTGTCATCCCTGTAAGTAAATTTCTGGTATAAATAATTTAATTAGTGTTTTACTTCATCAATTTGAAATAAGGAGGAGAAAATGGAACTGCTTAAGAGGTCCTTTTCACTTCTGAAGGGAAAAAAAAAAATCAAGATAATAATCACTGCATTATTTAATGCATTCCTTTCTTGGCAGTTGCAGACTTCATTTATACTGATAAAGTACAGGATTTGTGCTGACCTTTAACAGCTGCTAAATGATGTTTAAACATAAAAGCCATTGTAAAGTTTCCAGCAATTTGGAACCGCCCACTGTTCCAGTGCAATTTTCTGCTGAGATTTGCAGTGCTTAGATGTTGCACAAATAAAAATCTGCTGGTTTTAGAAAGACAGTATTTCCACTATCTAATGGACTTTCTTTTCTCACTGCTCGTTGTAGCAAAACCAGGACAGTTTTATTAGGATGCATGCTAATGTCTTCAGGAGCATTTCATGTCTCAGATTCCAACTTCCCATGGATAGACCAAGAATAATTTTCATTTGGAAAATAAGATAAATTTAAAGCCCATAAGGTAGCTGGCAACTATTTTTTTGAATAGACGTTTAGATAAATCAAAATGGACTCTCACGCTAGAAAAACTGGCATGTTCTGCATATGAATAGAGCAAAGGTTTAACATTTGGATCATGACGTGAATCCTAGATACTCATGAATCTTGCCAAGTTTGAAACCATAGAGTCAGCAAAGGGCTGGGATGGAGACAGACCTGTCCTGGGAAGCTCTGCTCTGCTGGGCTTCAGAGTTTCGTTTGCTCTAGGACACTTATCCAAGGACAGCATGAACTGGTTCTAAAGTAATTAATAGTTTATTTAGTAATATTTCCTAATGAATATAAAATAGTATTTTTTCAGCGCCCTATAAGATTACTTTTAACCTCAGCTGTAGACCTTCAGGTCAGCAGACGCTAATGGGATAGTCTCTTCTCACACATCACAGACGAAGCAGAAACAAGTCTCTTTTAGCAATGTGCCTTAATGCTAAACAGATAAAGACCAAGGCCGACATTTTCATTTTGTCTGACTACCTGAATTCAAATTACAAATTTAGAAGTCCTTATTGTCAGATAGGCAGCTCCCCACAGCTCATTTTTTAAAGATCTGTACTAATTCTGATTATCTGTTGTTTATAAGATTGGGGGAGGGCAGTGATATGAGGATGTTAGGTCTACATACCACTAAGAAAACAATGGTGTTCTCAAATGTTTCCAACAATCTGAGACAGCGACTGTGAGCAAAGAAACACTCTTCCTAGTGTTTTTTTATAGGAAACATGATCACCACAGTGAATTGATTAAATTAGTATTATCTGAAGACTGTTCCTGCACCCATCTTTAAACAACTTGCTCTGATAATGTTTATTTCAGTGTTGAAATGACGATCTTTCTCCATTAAAAAAGAATAATGTAAACGATTAAGCCATATTCATTACTAAACTAATATAAGCTGGGGAGGGGGGGAAGAAAACAACAAAAAACATTGTGCTTGAAATAACCTTTCAAACTATTTCCATCTTCTGATGTTTCCATTTTTAATAATTGTTCTGTATCTATGCTTATAGAAGAGGGGAAAGTGCTTCATTTAGTAAAAATATATAAATTCCATTGATTGAATTAACTTGAATGCACTGAAGCTTTAAATATCAAAGAGAAGGAAGGGGAGCAAGAACAGTCAATATTTGCTGCCTATCGGCTCAGGAAGTCTATCCTGTCTCTTAACTAATGATGACGAAGGTTTTTGAGTCTACGATGTAGAAAACAAATTCTGTTTTCTACTGCAATCTTATTTCTATTTACTAATTAAGCACCTCTTATCTCCTGCTGGCTTAGTGGATCTGTCTAATTATACCATGGCTTTTCCACTCAGTGGCCCTTCATCCTACTCATACTGTACTTTTATTCTTTTTTTTTAAATAAATAAATCACAGGATTTCTTGATGAGAATTTGTTATCACGCAGTGACACGGAGTTATGACAGAAGCCATCCTCTTCATTTCCTCCCGTGTTCCTTCAGTGCTATACGTTCTACCTGTATTGGCATTTCTGCTGTGCTTAAAGTTTCTTTATGATTTATGCAGCTGCATAATTTAGGCGCTGCTAAGAGATTTGCACCAGACAAAGTCCTTTGTTTGTCTTGCTCGGGATACGGTGGGATGATAGAGCTCCATTTAGCTTTTGTGTAATGTAGGACAGTGACCTAGTTTCAGTACCTTTCAATATCTCATTCTGGCTTGGTTTTCTTCTGCCTCTTTTGCTCTAGTAAGTCTTAGACAGCCAAGCTTACACATAATTTCATCAAGGATTAGTCTGATTTCCTGTCTGACTTCATGGTACAAATTGCTTCAACCGCATTTCATTCTTAACGAATGTTCCCAGGGACATTGTCCAAGTAAATCTCAGGACTTTTCAGTTATGTGATAACAATTACTATTTAGGTTGCTGCTATCAGCTCATAAAACTGTTACTGCACAAGATTTTTCCAAACCAGCTTTTGGTGCCCAGCACCAGATTTTGGTGCCCAGCTTCACATCCCTTGAAGGGGCCTCATTTTTAGAAGCTAAATGCACAGCT